CTTGTTTTGTGTTCACTCAAAACTTTGAGCTTTTATTTTGATACTCATCTCTCCATGCTGCTGATGTAGGGATGTGGAAGATACACTACTGTGATAAGAACGGAAGCTTGGGCCATTTTCCCTATTCTGGATATGGCCTGACATTTATGCATGGAATGTGCTGATGCTATTAGAGTGCCTGGCCAATATCCAATTTCATTGAATTTTTTGTTTCATTTTCTATATATTCACGTAACTATTAGGAACCAGTTTTAGTCATTTTTTCATAGCAAGTTTTTCTTTGGTCACACATGTATAACACAATTTGTGAAACATGGAACTCGTGAGCTGGGGTGACAGCAATGGTTTTTAACTATACATGTTACAAGTCTTTCGTGAAATCAGGGTAATCTATGTAGATAAGTAGATGGTTTTTGTAGACTGTAGATGATTTTTGTAGACTTTGGTTGGGATTTGCGACAAACTGTACTTCTTAAGTGTGAAGGACATGATGGAGAGATCATGGACGAGGACTGGTCGACTTGCAGCTTCCACGAGCCTCTCGTTTCCTTTCAAGGGGTTTGGTGTTGGAACAGCTTGGTTTCATGGTTCGTTTCTGTACTAAAAGGCTAACTCCGAGGTATTTTTGGTGCATATTATGAGCTTTGGGACTCAAGTTGGTTTCAAACCCCATGTTTCAGACTACTGCAAATTGTGCCTGTGGTGGATCATCCCATTAAATTCGAAGGCCGAGTGTGCAATGGGTTTTGTGGGTTCTTAGTACATGTCTCAGCTAAGAAGACTTCGAACAAAAGAATAAATTGTGCACAGGTAGAAGTTCGCAAGGCAGTCTAACTACCAGGTTTTCACTCCTTTAACTAGGTACCTGTATTTTCTCTTTATATGTGCTGTCTATGCTCTCGGCTTCTCTATTTGTGAGATTAGTGTTTGAAAGTGTGATAATGATTGTTTTTTAAAGTGTTTTTTATTTATAAATTTATTAAAATAAATTTTTTTATTTTTAAAAAAATTATTTTTGATCTAGCAAATTGAAATAAACCTAACTTAAAAGTAAAAAACAATAACTTTGTGCAAGGGCTGTAAAACAATTAGAAGCAAACCTCCACTTGGTCAAAGTCAAAGGGGTCAGGTCTCCCCAGGACGCTCGAAAGGCAAGTTGCAAGGTTATTTGAGTAACAGAATTAGTATTACAGATTGTCAATTTCCACTTTCGAAATCTAACCACGATTGATTAATATATTTAAATCACTACAATTTGTTAAATGGAAGGGAGACACACCACGAAACAAAGGAAACTTAAACTTGTATTCAGAGTTTTGTTTTAAATGTATTTTTATGGTGGAAATATATTAAAAAAATAATATATTATTATTTTTTAAAAATTTATTTTTGATAATATCAAACGATGAAAAAAATAATTTAAAATTAAAAATAAATAGTAAAAAAACACAAAATAATTTTAAATCTTTCTTTGCTATCAAACAAATTTCACACCAAAAGCCGACTGCATGGCCTTCTTGCAAGTTTCAATGATTAGCATCCTATGCTTTTGAGAATTCTCTGTTACTGCCATTGATGAACACTTTGGTCAGTGGGGGAGGAAGGTACAACTGATACGAATCCACGGCTGCCAAAAACAGGTCGCATGAAGCCATTGTCAAATTTTCTCCAATGGTGGACTGTGTGAGAAGGGGTGCTCAAGAGCATCCTTGTTCTGGTTGGACGTGGCACATTGTAGCGGGCCTGGTTGTCTTCTGAATCTTGTCCATTGAGCAGTGCACCGCAAAGGATTTAGGACTATAGTTCAGAAGACAACATACTGGCAGTGTGCTTTTATGACGGAAGCAAGATCCTTACCAGTGGTTTAGGCATCAATCCAAAGACCTATATGGATCCAACAGTTTAACTACATCAGTCTTGTGTTTGACAAATGAAACTTCGTCGAGTCCTAAGCTGCAGTTTCCGGTTCAAGCCATTGACTTTTATGATTGTTACAAATATTGATCCATTTTCGGAGCCTTGAAAGGAAATAAAGCTGAAGTTTGATCCCAAAATCCAATCTCCAATTCAGATTCTAGCTCCCAGGGCCTAAACACCGACGGACCAAGTTGAGGGTGGAAACTATCATATATGCAACAATATGTATGCAGGAACGGTCCAACCTCGAAGAGAAAATCTGCACCTATGGTTTTAGCTTAAACATGGAGACTGTAAAATTTGTTGCACCGAGCTTAACTTTGCCGTCATTAATGTTCTAAAAGAGGACTACTTTTGAGCACATTATTCCTCTAATGGCACTGACGGATGGTTCCATGGCTAGCTATTTTAGCAGAGGTATGTTGGTAATACAGCAGGTGACTTCTCCAGCTGTTCTCCACAGGGATGACGCATTATCCCACCACTGTGCTGAAAAGGACAACTGTGATTGTGCTGGTGATCATGACTGCATTTCCATGCAAGCGAGTATGGCCTGACCTGGTGAACCGCAAGAATCACAATAAAATTATCATTTAGATGAGCAAGTATGGTAACAAAAAAATCGCCTAGGGGAAATCCTGGTAGTTGTGTCCTGTTGGCTATTCTTTGAAGAAGTTTTTGTATACTGTTGGTCTCTAGCAGGAACGTTAACTACTCAGTGCACTGCACCAATGGTGGAGATTAACAAACGAAACCAGCGTCCAGGCTCATGGCTGAAATATATTTAACTTATTTGTGTTTAACAAGAAGGAGGAAAAAACAGATCAAATCGGAAAAGAAAGCCTTTCGATCTTTTTTCCCTGATTATAAGTCAGAGCCACAGAAACAGCACCAATGGTAGTGATTCACAAACTTAAATCCAAGAAACAAGAATAGCTTGAGAGCGTACTTGTTGCTTTATACCTGTTTTCACATACAGGGACTTCTCAGTCAAGTTGGATAAAAGGGATAAGTGGAAAACAAAGGCTCCCACCAGAACCAATCCCAGGAGTCTTGAACTAACCCGAACTGATGTTCCAGGGCTGAAAATATAGAAACCAGGAATTAACCTCCACATCAGCGAATGGTGAAGATAATATTGTATCAGCTTTTATATTACGATCTTGGAATATATTTTTGCGGTAAATGATATCCCATTTTATTTTTAACCTCACCTATCACTTACAACCTTCCATTTCTCAATGTTCAAGGCATCCATGCCAACACAGAGGAAGAAGATCTCAGCAACAAACGACCAAGTAGCAAAAGCATGCCTGAAAGGGTCGAGGAAAACCGCGATATAAGTAATGTGATAGCTGCAGCAGAATTGGAAGTGAGAAACAGAATGAAAGAGATTTTGATTGAATTGCCAAAACACATTTCAGGAGAGCAGACTTTGTTGTTATCCTTGAACTTTCAGTAACATCATACCATGTGCAGTGAGGCATAACAATCCCACAAAAAGAATACAGTGAGAATGGCTGAAAACCCAATATTTCTTGCATCACATGAGCTATCATGGAATTATGTAAAAATGAAACAAACTTGAGGACATCATAAAAAGAAGTAGAACCACAATATTGGCAACAATCTGGAGATGAATTCAGATCTGATCCACTTGCAATTGAGCTGCTGTGGTTGATACTTTTTACAGCCCTAAACTTCTGTCTGTCATTGGAACCTGCCGAAGTAAAGCTTTTTGATAATGTCTGCGCCAGGTAGTCCAGTCTGCAGGAGCCAAAAAAGCGTGCAATGCACAAAACAGAATTCACCGATGAATCACATGATATGCTTGAGATAAACAAATAGAGAAAGCTTCCTATACAGAGAGGGACAGAGTTACTAGAACACCCAATATGGTGCTTGAGATAAACAAATATAGAAAACTTCCAAGAAACTCAACTGCAATGCTTGAGTTGATGAGGGATAGATCAGAGCTCTGGATTCCCTGGAAGAACCTGGAGCGTAAAGGCGTCTCATCCTGGTGAAGAACCCGCAACAGAACAATTTTAAGTACTCTACTCACTTTTTTCGAAGTGAATTGCTTCAAAAGTTGTAATTTTACCGTATCTTCACCAGCAGTAGTGTAACAACTCGAATCTCTTGTTTGTGCATATAGAATATCACATCTATGTTTAGTGTGTGTATAACAAATTGTATAAATGTTTCGACGTGTTTCAAAATTCTTTAAAATATTATGTTTTTTAAAACTAAAAAAAATTCAATAGTATTTTCAAAAAATTATCATCATAAATAAAGCAAAACAAATAATTCATAATATTTATTATATTATTAAAATTCAAATATAATTAAAATAATATAATAATAAAATGTTTAAGACATTAAATTAAAAACTAAAAAAAAGACATCTTAGAAAAAAAAAGTAGAAACACTTAATAAAGTTACCGGCTAATAAAAATTAAAAACTTGAAATAATATTTAAAAAATAAAAAGATAAATTTAACTAACTTAATAAAATAATATTTAACATATATCTTATATATTAAAAATTTAAAAATGGTAATATAATATTTTACATTACCCACGGTGATGATGATTAAAATATAGATTTTAAAAGAATAAAAATTTATTTGAAAATTAATTGAGAGATATATTTATTTTATATATTTATATTAAATTTTTTAATCAAATTATATGTTGTTGTATTTTTTTATACCAAATTAATAAATAAACTTTTTGTGTAGATAGATAGATCATAAGTCTATAATGGTATTTAGTGTTTAGTAGCCTTTGCTTTTTAAAATATTTTAATTTAAATATATATATATATAGAAATAATTTTTTATTTTTTTAAAAAATATTTTTTATATTAATATATTAAAATAATTTAAAAAATAATATTTAAAAAAAATCACGAAACGTGATTTCTACGTATAAAAATTCAACTTTGAAAAGTTTTTTATATTATTATTTTTTTAATTTTATTATCAGATATCTTTACATGTTTCTAATGTTGTTTTTAAATTAACCAAGTTGAAGGCTAAATAACAGTACTTAAATAATTCACAATCCGCAGCAGAGTGCAGGACTACTTGTGTTTAACTAATCAAAGACAGTAATTGAATGCTCACGTTTTTTTATCCTTCGTCACGCTGCTGAAGTCTTCTGGCTCTCATTGGATATCGTTCACAAAAATTATCAGACTGGAATGCTCTTCTAAAATCACAGATTGTCATCTCCTCCTCCTCCTCCTCTCAGAGAGGAGACAGGAACAACAAAAGAAAATATAAAGAGCGTACTTCTAAATTAACAAGAGACGTGTATATTCCCTCTCCCTCTGTGTTTAGGGTTTCTACTCTCACACTTTTCTTCTTCTATAATCAATCTCTATTACCTGTACTTGCATTTTCGAGACACGCACATTCTTTTTTTAATAAAGAAAAGTCGCTGATTTCTCTTCGATTTAAAGGTTATCTCATCGGTTAATTGTCTGTGCAGATTCGAGGTGTGTTTTCGAACTCTGATTTTTATTTCATTAGGCGTTTTCTTGAAATTAAATTTACGAATGCGATAATCAGGGTTGTGGATATCAGATATGTAGGGGTTTTGTGGTCCGTTATGGACGAATGATTTCAATTTATGTGATCTGGCAATGTGTGTTTTTTGCACTCTAAGCTCTAATATGTGCTTTGTTTCGCAATTAATGTGGCCGAAGCCTATATTTGTTATCTTAAAGAAGTTAGATTATTTCTTAGTTTGTTATTGTGCAATTTTGTGGTTTTTTTTTCTTTTTTGCAATATAGGTAGAGATGAGTAAATGCCTTTGTAAATGTGTAATCATTTCAATGGTTTTCTTTGATATATGTTATTAATTGAAGTGTATAGATACTTAAATTGTATTTTAGGATCAATGGTATGCTCAATTGGAAATGGGAGAATGGCTGTCATGGCTAGGCTTCTGGTGGCCGGGAGTTTGTCACAAAATACTGCAGGTAATCATTAGTCGTTAGTTCCATAATGTACTTCCATGAAGAAATTAACTATTAATGGTAAATGGAATTAAATTTATATGCTAGGTGATATTTCATTTGCTCTTTTACTTTCCATTAGAGCTTCCTCTATTCATATCGGCTTCAATTTTTTGTAGATGTGGTTAGCCAGCAGAAATTTGTCACTCGATATATTTGTAGAGAATTACATGAATCGGATGAACCAAATTTACTTGATGAAGAAGGTAACCTCCTAGCACTGCATTGATGTGGGGAAATCCCTGCCATTTTTTTTCTCTGCAGGGAGTACTAAGAATGTACATGGCATGCCAAATTAGGGATGTGCACAGTTTATGACCATTTTGCATTGTGAAGTCTTGGTTGTGATGTTCTTCATTGATTTCCTGGTCAAAGTCATTGTTTTTCCATTGCACTCAATTTTGTTGTTATTTGATCATTTCTTTTTGCAGACATGCATGTTTTTGGTTTGATGCCTATGACTGACCCTTTGGACCTGGTAAGCTTTGGCATTTTGGAATTTTAATGTTTGTTTAAACTATATTCTAGCTCATTGATTCTCCTTTCGCATGCAATATATTGTTAATACTTTGGTGTGCTTATGATATTTCTAAATTATTTTTCTAACCCTGTAATATCATTGTGAAGGTATGTTGCAATGCTTGTAAGAAGACAGTGAAGGCTAGCCAATATGCAGCCCATGCAGGTTTTGAGGTTTTCCCTTTTCAGTTTTTTCCTTTCCACTTTCTTTCTTTCCGAATTCTTGTAGCAGTTATAACAGATGGGTGTTGACATATCTTATGTTTCAAATATTAGAGCTCCATGGAATGGATAAAAAGATTTTAAAATGGTTGAAAAACATGAGAAACAATGACGTGGAATTTTTGTTTTGTTTTTAGGAATGATGTTGGCAAGTGTTTGTGTTTAATCAGGACTACTAAGTGCTTCATTCTTTCACTGTATTGATCATTGATCATTGATATGGTTGTTGGATCATGCTGCTTTACAATATTTGCTGGTACAGATAATAATATGAAGTCATGAGCACCATAGACCAAGTATTAGTGTTTTGATTGTCTTGGCACCTTTCAGTTATCAACATTATCTCCTCCATAATGTGCTAGATGTGAGCATTATCAGCGTTTATCCCAATTTAAAAGGAAAAAAAATATATATTGCATTGCTTGATTTGCACAAATGCAAGCTAGGACTTACTTTGGAGTCCATATAGGCACTTTCCTCAATACTCCAAATAGCAATGAGTTTGTAACATGTTTCTTTACTTGGCTGAGTGGCTTAATCAGGGTGTAACATGATTGTCATTGACATCAGATGATGAAATATTACAATCTCTGAATAGGTTTTTATTTGCAGTCTCTTCCAGATAGGTGCTAGTCAACTTGAAAATAGTACTTTGGTCAAAACTGATGGTGCTAGCCAGCTGTTGTTTAATCTTGATGGGATGAATGTGTACTTTTAGGCATAGTTATGAACCCGGCCCGGCCTAGTAGGTTGACCTGGGACCTGAGTGGCTCAGGGCTATGGTCGGGTTTCAAATAGGCAAAATCCAGAATTGCAATTGGCCAAGTCAAGCCCGAGTGATCCGGCATAACCCAGGTGAGACTAATATATATATTTTAATAAATCCAAAAAATAAAAAATTAACTTATGAATACTCAGCCTTATATTTTTTTTATAGCCTACAGCCACATGAAATGTTTCATAACTTTTTGATGTGGGATAACTATATATAGCCTGCATTCATATGGAATGTTTTTTAACTTTTTAATGTGGTATAGCTATATGTATGGTCTGCTTTCACATGAAATGCTTCTTAACTTTTTCATGTGAAATATTAAAATCTCAAACTTTTTTTTTAAAAAATTTTTCTCAAGTCAATCTGTGTGACCCAGGACCCGGATCCTTGGACAGGTCAACCCCCGGGCCAGCTTTAATAACTATGCTTTTAGAAGTAACTGTTTCTTCATACCGGTACATATGTGTTAATTGTTATGGGGTAATTGATTGCCTACCTTCAATGTTTAGGTATAACCCTTCAAGTTTGGCAGTGCTAGTTCTTAACTGACTTAGGTTTCTTTCTCCTTGTATTTTTTTCAGAGCTTTGCAGGCTCTTAAACGCTGCTGAAGAAATGAACCTGGAGCTTGATGGCAGCACAGGATGCAGGAAACCTCCAAGGAAGGAGAGGAAAAAGTTATTCACTGCCTATTCTAGTATCCATTGTTTTATTTTTCTTTTATTTTGAGACCTCAAAGTCAGTTTAAATCCGTATCTGGGGTTCATTCAGATGACTTTTTTTAATCTGGGGGTTGGGAGAACGCGGGGTGGGGAGGGGGTTGTTGATATGCAAAGAGATGGTGGTTTTTTTCTCATTGATTGTTACATATATGAACAAAGTTTGGTGCTTTGAGTTTTGCATATGGTTTTACTTTTATTTTGTTTTTTTATACTGGGTAATAGTTTAGTTCTTAACTTTTAGACCAAGCTACATCAGTTGGGGAACGAGAAAGGTCTGAATCCATAGTTGCAGATGATTCTGTTGCATCAGAATCGCATTTGGATGGGCAACCTAGAGTGCCTTCTTGCTTCTCCCTGGATAAAAAAAGTAAGTTATCTATGCTTTAAATTCTATCTTTATTTAATCTCTTGCCTTGCATTTTTTATATAGAAAATCAAAGGGTAATCTTTTTGAGTATATGTTCTTTCAGATGTAAGTAATTTGAGTATTGTTAACAGTCCTTGGTTAGCTGATAAGTTCTGTTTTAAGTGTTAGCTTGTACAACAATCTCTGATACTTAAAATAGTGTAGGACTGACATCTGGCTGTACAAGCTTGGAGGCCCTGGGCTGAAAAAAATTACCTTCTCTTGCATTTTTTCACAGACATTGGTCTGGGTTAACCTTGCTTTGGCCAAAGACCAGATAGGTTTGTTAAGTTTAAGGTAAGCACAGGCTACATAATCCTTGCTTAAACGAATCAAAGAATTTATCAGAAGGCAGAAACAGGGGATTCTATTGACAGGGAAAAAGCTTATTCAATAGCAGGGGATTTGAGGCTGCTGGTCCCGCTTCTTTCCTTCTTTTGAAGCTTGTTGCCCTCTCCAGTTCTTATTGTGAAACAAAAAGGCCGCCCTGCCACAGTAATCCATTGTTTGAGGTGAACAAGTCCAAGGCTTTGCACGTGAGCAAATGAGGGACCTACTAAGCAGTTCAATCCCTGTCATTTTCCCAAAAGGAGATATTCATGAAGTTTCTTGCTTGTGTCCACGATCAAGAAAGAAAAATCTTTCTAAATTGCTTCTAGTCACATCTCTTGGTTGGCATGTGAATGATGCCACATTCTCTAGAGTTGGGACAGTTGTTGGCCTCTTAATTTTAATTTTTGAGTCAGACCTGATATTTCCTTCTTTATTGCTCTACATTCAAACTATGAAAAATGTCTTTGCTGAGTTCTGTGACAAAACTTGATGTGAATTCATATTACCGTGGACTACATTCTTGTTTCAATCCATAACATTTTTCTTCTTCCAGGAAATTTTCTTGTTGTGTTGCACCTACCTTGGTTAGTGGCCAGTCTTTGTTGAAATTGTGCTAAAAACTGGATGTGCTCCTTCATCTTTGACACAAGATTCTGTGTTCCATCTATTCGTGTCTGTACTGGGTCTAATGGCTAGCCTTTGATGTAACTGCTGCTCAGTGCTTACGTGGTACTTTATTTGCATTAACCAATAAGATTACTTTGTACAGTGCTCAAGCATGTTTTTAATGTTATTTGGTAGAATGTCCATCAGCATTCGTTTGTTTGAAGACTATAGGTCTATTTTCTTATTTTCAGGTATCTGTGTCTCTGTAAAAGGTTGTGTAATTTCTTTTGTGAGAGAGGATATAAGTCCTGTAATTACTTTTTTTAAGAGAGAAATCTGATAGTCCTCCCCTTTCTCCTCCATGAGATGCAAGATCTTTGGGTGAAACTTCTCTCTTGGGTAGTCTGATTGCATTCTGTAGTGCTGGTACTTGAGATGGGGTTAGTGAAGAAAGCACTTGGTAGATATGATCTGGAAACCACTCCTTTTCTACCAAGTTGCATCCCAGTGCTTTTCCTTCAAACAGAGGCTCTCTTGTATGATACTTTTGTAATAAAATTAATGAACCTAAGCTAGCTAGATTCACTTATTTTTCCTTACAAGGAATTCAACCCACTTCACCATGGACATTGTGGCAAAAGTCCTATATGGATGAGACAATGGTTGTTCTTCAGTCAAGTTGGGTTATCCTTTTGTTATTATTACATTGGAAATCTTAAGAGAGTGATGTTTTAATCTTGCGTTCTCTACAGAGGTTTGTGTTTGCAATAGACACATATTCACACTATCCTGTTTGAATTTATTTGATTTCTTGCTTTCCTTTGTTCGTTAGGAAATTCTGCTTCTGTAGATGTTGCATCAATGATGGATGGTGAAGGAGTGATTCCTGAGAATACAGACTACTCAGCCTGTGAAATGCCACCTCCAACAAAACGCCATAAATTGTATGCTTTCTTTGTTATTTATGGCATGTGATTGCTTTAAATAGTGTTATCTGCATATCTTCATGCATCTTAAATATTGTCCATTATACTGTATGAATTTTGAATATCATATTCTGTGATGGCTTTCTCCTTTCATCCTCTTTGTTGCCATTGCACTTATGTGCAATCATGTTCTCATATTATGCTGTCATGCTTAGAAACTTTTGCTTAGGAAATAGTGTTTACTAATTTTCTTAGAATTTGTATTGCCGAATAATTAAAAGGGTAGTTAGTTTTAGTGGCTGTACAATTATCTCTGGATTCTGTTTCCATGCACCTTTATTCTGTACCTAAATGATAATGTGTCTAATCATGTTATAAGGTCAATACTTTTATTTTTCCCCTCAATCGAGAGTGCTTCTTTACTGAGTGCCCAAGTTGAGAGTGATGTGAAATTCAGACCCAATATTCTATCAAAAATATTCAAGCCTCTATATTAAACCATCCTCTGTGCCAGCTTTCTATGACAATCTTGTGAACTTTGATGCTGGTTTCAATTCCATGATCCATTGTTTTTTGTTTGTGTAGCACATCAACTGAGCACCGACTTCTATCAGATGATCCAGAAACAGCTTCTGGCTTAGCAAAAGTTACTAGCACTGTGGATCCATTTACCTGTAAGGCTAGATTTATTTTTCACTAACTTGTTCTGCTCTCTCTCTCTCCAATCACGAAACAAAACCACCCTTTTCTTTTGAAATTGTACTTTGAAAGAAATTTTGGCCTGACCATTGCACCTTCTTTGCACTCTAGTTACTGATTTGTCATGCACTTGCTGTTCCCTGTCCATGTGAAGTTTGTGTCTGTCCAAGATATCTGGCAGGCTTGTCAATAAATGTGACTTCAGATTTTTTCAGTCTAATTTTTTTTTGCTACCAAAAACATATTTTAGACAGGTTGAATATCTATTTCTTTCCCTTACACTAGAGGAAAAGGAGTAGAGCAGAATGGAAACAAAGAATCTTAAAATCTTTTCAACATTTAATTTACAACCAGAAAATGGAGTGGCATAGGTGGAAAAATTAGGTTATTGACATTCAAAACAGTGTTTTTATTTCCAACATGCCATAGTGATAACCATGCATTCACTTAGATGTTCATAACTCACCTGAGATGATCGGCCTGGATGTTTGTGCTGCTGTTGACTACATGATGTGCTCAAGAAGATGTGTTTTTTGTCTATTGTCCTTGGGGAGATTTTCAAGCACGATCAAATTCAGGAAATGACATGCCTAATGATGATGCTTGTCTCTAAATACCATGGGAGAGCCCATTAGCATTGCCTGTGTACAAAAAAATATTCTTTTGTTGCATTTAGTGATCATCTTCTCTGTAACTTTTCTGTGAAGATATCTGAACCTCTTTTTATTCTTCACTTTGGATTCTCTGCTTTCTCAATATTGGATAATGCTCTGTGGTATTAAATCAGACATTCCAGTTCCCCTTGCTACCAAAGTTTATTACTCTCAAAGAAACACTCATCTACGGTCAGCAGTTGCTTATCTGCACCATGCAGCATCTTCTGAGGGGCTTCAGAATAACATGATGAGTTCAGGAATATCACAGGAAAGCCCAATGCAACTGCAGGCTTCGTCTCAGAGGGGTTCCTTAGATGCACAAACAGATGGCCTGACCAAAGAGAAGGTTTGTGTATGTATTGTTTCTTACTTTTGATGGCTCAACTTTTATTTGGCTGTTGTAAAGGGTCTTGTCTTCAAAATCTAAGAGAAATGAGAGAATTGAGCTAGATTTTTACTTGCCAGTGCACACGCATCATAGAGTTATTGATTCTGAATTGTTGAAACCGACATTTTAATTTTTACATCTAGTGTTGTACTGAAGTTCAAGTTATAACAATGGAACCTGCAGTTTCATGCTATAACTTCCGTTCAAGAAATTCATTTTGCTTCCAGATGCTTCAAGTTGCACACTCTGGAAGTTTTCAATGCCTTGACTTTAATAACTTTCCATAGCATTAGTTTCGAAATTATATTTTTGTTTAAATTATACCTTTTCACACTGCTGAGTTAACATAAATAATATAATTGGAAGCTACTGACTTAATCCAGGTAAGGCAGAGAGATCCTTCTGTGCATCAACCAGATCAAATTCTTGCACAAAGCTCAGAGATGCGCATGGATAAATCTGGAGGATGTCCACCATTGACTAACTTCTCAAATCAGTGTCCTGTTGATAACATTCAAATACCCCAGACTGCTTCAATTGGAATGCTCAGAAGCAAATATCTTCCAAAGCCGTATTCTTTTGCAGGGAAGCCAGGTGGTCTACTAATTTCTTCTACTGTTACAAGCTCCATGTTTTTGAATCAGCTATAGGCTAGGCATGATCGCAGTTAGTAAAATGGAAAGTTTTAGACAATTTCATTAAAATTGCTAATCATAATTGAGCTTATTAATTAGTAGCCTGGCGTTTGTGTTCATGAATTATTACTGCAACTGTTTTTCAAGTTGTATGAATTTTTTATTTTTCAGTGTTTAAGATTGTCTTCTTGTGCTATCATTACCATCGCAATGATGCTCACTTTGTCCAATGCATGTTTATATTTGTTTTCTCATTTCCTTTTCCATTCAGCTGCCTGTAAAGTCCAAAGAAGATGGAGATAAAATTATCTACCTGGTGACAACTCTGTTTTTGTAGGTCAATCAATTGGAACTATGCAGCAACCAAGTGGAACTGTCCCTGTTTTGTAGAAGGCCATGTGGGAATTTTGGCTAGGCAAATATGTATTTAATACCAAATGTGAGGTTAGGATCCCTTTTTGAAACCACAAGCAAATCACCGCAATTGTTCATTCTAGCCTTCTGTGTCATATTTGACATCTGACTACTGTTTATACTTGAATAGAAATTTTTTTAAAAAAAAAAAATCTTCATTGTCACAGTTATAGACTTGAAGTTCCTTGATAGTGCAAATTCACACTGTTTCCTTAATCTTGGTCCTCCTGGATGTTTTTCACCTTGTGATGATGATTTTGTTCGTTTCTCTGAATCTCCTGAGGTTTCATGAGATCGTATGTTGCAAGTACATGTGCTTATCTGGGTTCCAAGATCCTGGTGAGAGATGTTCATAGTTATCCAATCAGTGCCGTGTGAAATGAGGAGCCGCAAATTGTGTCCTGCCAGGAAATTCTTCTCGTGTCGACAGTAAGTGATACAGGTAGTGATGGCAAGTTGACTTTTGAATCATCGTCTAACTTGCTTCCCAGAATTCATCATACTGATTTTTTGGGGGGGAGGAATGGGGTTGATTTACAGTTAATAGTTTTAAAATTGACATTTTGTTACTGTACTCCACATCACACTCGAAAGGGGAGTGAGTGAAGGAAGTCTAGAACTGCAAAAAGACGTCGTTTTCGTGATGGCTATTGGAAGCTTGGTGAGGAGGAGGGGGGCACTTGTTGCCTCAATTCAAAGAGAAATGAAGGTGTTTCTAACGAGCAGGATGCGGTAAGTTGATTCCAGCATATGCTTATTATGGAGATGCAGTAGGAATGGACTAATTGCGATTATCGAGAGATTTGGACAGCCTTGTGGATTTAGCTGTGGGTAATTAGATGTCTTAAGCTTTGCATAATTGCCTAGTCTTTTCTTGTTCACTATAAAATATCTGCTCATGTTGATAGTGTGGCTGGCCACCATGGCCTACCACATCGCTGCAACTGGATGAATCATTGTCTTTTATGGAAGACTTTATCATCGATGATGACGAAGGTAGCTACCTTGCATACCAAAAGTTTTCTTTCTAGGTGAATTGCCCCTTTGACCTACACCCACCCATGTTAGAAAACCTTGTGATTTATGTGGAATATAATAATAATAATAATAAACCTTGATAATGTCCTGCCCTATATAAAAAATATCGCACCTAGGAGATTAATATCCTGCCAGCTCTGACACGCGCTGGTCTTATGCATGTTGCCATGTACTTGAGCAATCAAGTTGGGGGGGGAGGCAAGGGAAGATGCATGCTGGAGGTTGCTTTCAGCCTTTTTGATTCTCATATTGTTAATGTGTTTTAAAAGCCTCCAATTATTCTCCTCCTAAAGTGACATTTTAATACTAAAAAGAAAGAAGTCGTGTGCTCTTAGGAAAAAGAAAAGCAAGCCTATGTTCTATGGACCGTGAATGAATTATATAATGAATGGATCTTCCTAGATGGAGCTATGTGATTATATTGATGATATATTTACCATTGGTGGGCAGCTTCCAAAAACTGTCATGTCTCCACAAAATTAAAATATTGATGACACGACAGCTCCCTGACATGAGAGCCACGCGTGGAGATAAATAAGAATCCTCATTTGTTTCTTATTTCGAGTGTATGATCTAACAAGGAAGCTCATTTCTTTTCTTTGTTTCCTTTTTTTTATTCCTTGAGTTGCAACTTACAGGAAACAATTTTCTTTTTCTACCATCTACAGACTATAAAGTATAAAATATAATTTTCTTTTTCTACCATCTACATACTATAAAGTATAAAATCATGGACTCGATAATTGTGTAACTTATAAAAAATATAATTTATATGATTAGGTTTTAGATTTGCTATATAAAAATTATTAGTTTGAGTTATATAAATTTTAAAGTTATTAAAAACTTTTATAATTATTATATGATTATTTTAGAATCTATAAAATTAGTTAAAATATATACAAGTTAATTTAATTATTTATACTAATAAAAAAAAATACAGGCTTTATTTTATTTTTCAATAAAAAATTAGATATCACGGGACATTTAAGACAACTTAGGATAGACAAGATAGAAAACATGGATTAAAATAGATTAAGAATAAAGTAAGTTAATTTAATACTTTTTAAGAAAAAATCAATGATTTTAATTAGGTTATAAGTAAATGTTGAGTTCACAAGGTTAATTTCCTCTTGTTTTTTTTTGTTTTTTTCTAAAACCTAGCTCGAGAATTCAAGGCAATCGGATCTTAGGTTTAATAAGAAAGTGGGTTGCTATTTATCACCATTTTATACATTCTATTTCCATACACACATATGCAGGGTATATAGTATAAGTAAGAAACTAAAATGATATAGTAAAAATTAGGCCCGAAAGCATTTATGAGCAAATGCAACTCTCACACTTTGACATTCTTGTGTTTGCTTAGAACTATTTCATTATTAAAGAACCGAGCACACCTGGAAGTAGAAGTTTTATTGAGATTCAATAATTGACACTTTATACATTGACATGACATCCAATTATCATATTCAAGGCAAGGCATAAACACCCCATACTTTACCCATTCTTATCACAAGGCTTCGTGTTCGCTCGGAGGCCGTAGCTAAATCAATCGGGGCTGCTTTGAATTTGAGAAAGGGCTAAGCGAGAAGACCAAGCTAGGTTCATCATCAATCATCATATACTCGGTTGATTTTTATCCTCTACACTAGCATCTTGGTGCCTTGATTTGACGAGACAGATCGTGTTAGCATTCAGTTAATACACTGTAAAATGGTGTTCCCATCCTTCTTTTCTATGAATAATTTGGTCTGCCCTTGATGAACTTTCCTGAACCATGCTTTTAATTAAATTGAAAGGAAATGAATTCGATGTGATTCATTGGATTATGACTTTGTTTAATTTTCTTTAAAATAATATCATTTTAACTCTATTTAACTATACTATTCTAGAATGATCTTGATATATTCGTACTTCCGACCGAGTGAAATAACATTGTTCCTCTCTTCCACAGGATTGGTCTCCATGTCCCTGTATTTTCTCTTTTTTCTACAGGGTTTTGCTATTTATAAGCGTGTAAGAAACCATGTACGCATCGGTGGCTTGCTAGCTAGCTACCTGAACCTCTTGCCGGAGGAGGACAAAGTGATGACCCGCCAGGTATCAACAAGAAGATGCACTGGAACATAGAAATGTATGTTCTTGATGTAACAAAGCACAAGTTCAGTGATACAGTTAAAAAACGCAAACAAACAAACAAACAAGAGCACCCAGCCATGGACCTCTTCCTTTCCTCGTTGGTGCCCGAACAAAACACAAGAGTAGCTTGGTTTGTTTTTGTTCTATCCACCCATCGACAGAGTCTACTGAGGGTGACAGAGATGCAAATAGACAATCTCTGGTTGCTGTGGGACCCTAAGGTGGTGAGAGAGACCGAAATAGACAACCTCCGGTTGATGTGGGACCCTAAGGTGATAGAATCCTTAGGATTAGATATCATGAGATATTTTTTAATGTGGGGCTGGGACCTGCTATTTTCCAACTCCTCAGCTATAATTATCATAGTTTTTTTTTAATATAGATATTTGAAGTAATTTATATATTTTTTAATTAATTTTATGAATTTGAAATTAATAATTATATTAATTTTAAATAATTTTAAAATTTATATAATTTAAATTAATAATTTTAAAAAAATAAATTTAATACCTAACCAGTTAAATTATATCTCTTAAAATTATAATTAATATAATATTTATATCAATTAAAGATAAATAATTAAATTAACTTGTATTAATTAATTTTTTATTTTATAAAAAAATATATTATTTTAAAAACATAATATTTTTTTCCAAACCTATTTAATTTTTTAACCCAATCAAATTTTTTTTTTTTATTGAAACTTGGCCTATGTTAAACCTTGAATCTTCTGGATTACGAAACAACTTTTTATGTCTGTTTAGTTTTTTAACAGAGATAATTACTTGATACTAACGATTTAATGAAAATTTTGATACCAATAGTCCACCTGAATTTTATAACCTTATGGGGATAGTGACCAATTTTATTTCTTCCATTATGGTTTTGGATATGAGTTAAAAAGAGGGATCACGAGGTAGAACAAAAAAAAGATTCGGTGTGTGTCCAGATTATTGCTCAATTGGGAAAAAAAATTACTAATCTCATTACTAGAAAATAAATTCGAAAACAATCAAGATAATTGAAAAAAAAAAAAAGAGAAAGAGAGAGAGCAAATCACAGTACTTCTATGAAATATTATAAAATTATAAATATAATTAAGTTTGAAGATTTGACAAAATATTTTCTCATATTTAAAATGTCCTTAATTATAATATAAGAAATTAAAAAAATAAAAATAAAAAACTTAAAACAAATTGATTAACAGTAAATACTGAAATTTGCTATTATGGCAATACAAAGGGACGAGGTTTTAAAACTCACAAGGAATATTTTGAAATAATTATTCCTAGAAATTTTTATACATTATTTATGATCTACTTCAAAACCATGTAGGCTTCTTGTTTAGTAAATCTTCTCCTAGGGGACATAAAGCTCTTTTTAAATAAATGTCTACACAAAGTCCTGTGGGAATATTGATAGGGGACTTTTTAAGAATTAAGTAAGTACTATGGATATTTGTATAAAAAATAACATTAATAAAGACATTAAAAAGCTTTTATAAAGATAGATAAAAGGTTTGGGAAGAAAATTTAAAGGTGAGGGGAAGAAGCTAAGAATGTCTTCTTCTTTTTTGTCGGTTGATTTTTCTTTTTATGTATTTTTATTTTTTTAATATTATCTAATTTGAATTATCTTATGCAATGTAAAAGGGATAAAAAGATAATCTCGTATGATTAAGATAATAATATTTTTTTATTCGAATCATCACATCTAATTAATGGAAACATGGATTGATTATTCGTATTTAATAAGATTATAATGAGCATTATAATTATTAATCTAAACTCAGGGTATGGAAAGTTCAATGTAAAGCGACTCTTCAACAATACACTCAACCCGAGAGACGTTGAGTGTAAGTCATACCTTAAACCTATAAGGAATCAGGTCTAGCTTGTCACGGCATCCAAGAATGGTCTGGGACTGCTATATCCCGACCAAACATAAAGTTGGGTATGGTCACGTCCCTAACCCAATATAGGATAGGCGTGGGTGCACCCAAACCTAATATGGAGCAGGGCACGGTTGTGCCCCTGTCCAATATAGGGTTGGGAGCAGACACGCCTACCCCCACATGAAACTTGGTGCTAGTGCACACAAGCGCAACATAGAGCTATGCACAATTTCGTCCTTATCCAACATAAAGTTAGGTAAAATCTTGCCCCTTCCTAACTTAAAGTTGGACGCTAAGAAAGACATAATCTTATCTTGAATTATAGTTTTTGTTGCCTTTTAAATAGGATAAGTTTATAGAAATTGTGACCCATCACAAAGCCAGCCAGTAAAGGATGGTTTCCTTTATTTTCATTTTTCTTGGACTCCTTCACATGATATTCAACCGGTAAATATCCAAACTCACTCTTAAAATTAAACTAAATTCTTCTTTTTTAAAAAAAAGAAAGGAATTTGGAATTCTTTTAGAGAATATGAATTCATATTTTCTTTCATCTACTTGCCTGTAAAATATTAATCCATATTATTTTTTTTAGTATATTATTTGTTTTGATTGAATAATGACTTAATTTTTTGTTGTTGTTAGAAGAATTCTCTTGACTTTAATTGATATTTTTCACATAAATCAATTATTTTTTTATGTAAAAAAGTATTTAAAAGAACTTATAATTGCAAGAAGAAACTTGGAAAGAGGGATGAGATCCGTGAGAGAGAAAGAGATAGGAAGCAAAGAATGCAAGATCACTATAATAAAAAATTTAAAGGCAAATATTATATTTGTTAATATTAAGTATTACTTGAAAAGGAATGAGTTTTTCATCCTTTTATGTTATTGTGGATAGTCCATATAAAATTTTATATTTTTTAAATTTAATTTTTAATTTTTTT